GATATTCCATGACAAAACCAGATTTAAGCAACCTATGCACAAATCCAGCCCTACAGAAAGCACTAGAAGGAAAACTCCAACTCAAGGAAGTTAGCTGTGCCCACAAAAACACAGGCAATAAATAATCTCACACCAGCAAAACCCAAAGAAGGGAAATACACACACACACACACACACACACACACACACACACACACACTACCACTACCACCAACAACAACAACAACAATCCCCCCCCAAAAAAAACCCCAAGAATTAACAATCATTGGTCATTAATATCTCTTAATATCAATGGACTCAATTTGCCTCTAAAAAGACACAGACTAGCCAGGCAGTGGTGGTGTATGCCTTTAATCCCAGCACTCAGGAGGCAGAGGCAGGCAGATCTCTATGAGTTGGAGGTTAACCTGGTCTACAAAGAAAGCTCCAGGACAGACTCCTAAGCTACACAGAGAAGCCCTGTTTCAAAAAAAAAAAGACACAGGCTAACAGAATGGATACAAAAACAGGATCCATCCTTCTACTGCATACAAGAAACACACCTCAACTTCAAAGACAGACATTACCTCAGAGTAAAGGGTTGGGAAAAGATTTTCCAGTCAAATTGGCCTAAGAAGCAAGCTGGTGTAGCTATCCTAATATCTAACAAAATAGACTGCAAACTAAAATTAATCAAAAGAAATGAAGAAGGACATTTCATATTCATCACAGAAAAAATCCATCAAAATGAAGTCTCAGTCCTGAACATTTATGCCCCAAATACAAGGGCACCCCCATTTGTAAAGGAACTTTACTACAGCTTAAATCACACATCAAACCCCACACATTAATAGTGGGAGGCTTGAACACCCACTCTCACCAATGGACAGAAACTTAACAGAGAAATAAGAGAACTAATAGGTGTTAGGACTCAATGGACTTAACAGACATCTGTAGAACATTTCACCCAAACATAAAAAGAATATACCTTCTCAGCACCTCATGGAACCTTCTCTAAAATTGACCATATACACTAGGTCAGAAAGCAAATATCAACAGATACAAAAAAAAATGGAATAATCCAATTTTTCATATCAGATCACCATGGGTTAAAGTTAGAATTCAACAACAACACAAACTGCAGAAAGTCTATAAACTATGGAAACTGAACAACTCTCAACTGAATCACCACTGGATCAATGAAGAAATATGAAAGAAATTAAAGATTTTCTAGAATTCAGTGAAAATGAATGCACAACATACCCAAACTTATGGGACACTTATAAAAGCAGTGCTAAGAGGAAAGTCCACAGCACTAAGTGCCCACATAAAGAATTTGGAGAAATCTCACACTAGTGACTTAACAAAACACCTGAAAGCTCTAAAACAAAAAGAAGGAAACTCGCCTGTGGTAGCCCAGCTGGGTGACTGGCTCCCACATCTTACTACAGGGTACTCTTGAGGAGAGAGAAATAAGAGCTATCAGATAGAAGGATAGAGGGGAGAGAAACAGACAGAAACACAGGATAGCCTTGGAAGGGCCTGGATCATCATCCACTGGCTCCTCCTGTCTTTTCTAAAAAGCTATTTATAGGAATGCCAAGGAATGGAACAAAAGACCTCCCCCTAGCACAGCCAAGTGTAGACCCTTCTAATCACCTAGTAATCATGCACATGGCCAAGCAATCCTCTAATGCAACTCTGCTGGGTAAAGCAAGCTTAGATCTCACTAGGAAACCTTTGTGGGCCTCCACACTCACCCAGCAGGAGTAAATGGCAGGAAACAATCAAACTCAGGGCTGAAGTCAATAAAATAGAAACAAAGAAAACAATACAAAAAAAAATCAATGAAACAAAGAATTGGTTCTTTGAGAAAACCAACAAGATAGACAAACCCTTATTCAAACTAACCAAAAGGCAGAGAGAGAATATCCAAATTAACAAAATCAAAAATGAGAAGGGGGATATAACAACAGACACTGCAGAAATCCAGAGAATCATCAGATCATATTTCAAAAAATCTGTATTCCACAAAATTGGAAAATCTAAAAGAAATGGACAATTTTCCTGATAGGTACCACATACCAAAATCAAATCAAGACCAGATAAATAATTTAAATAGACCTATTACCCCTAATGAAATAGAAGGAGTCATTAAAAGTCTCCCAACCAAAAAAAAAAAAAAAAAAAAAAAAAAAAAAAAAAAAAAAAAAAAAAGCCCAGGGCCAGATGGTTTCAGCACAGAATTCTAAGCTAAGACCAATACTACTCAAATTGTTCCACACAATAGAAACAAAAGGAGCATTGCCAAAATCTTTTTATAAGGCTACAGTTACCCTGATACCCAAACTACATAAAGATGCAACAAAGAAAGAGGATTACAGACTGATCTCCCTCATGAACTGTAGAGACCCACAGAGGTTTCCTAGTGAGAACTTACTCAGGGTCCAAGAATCTGAGCTTGCTTTATCCGGTGGGGCTGCAAAGGGGGATGATTTGACCACGAGCGTGGTTACTAGGTATTTGGCTGTGCTTTAATCTAGCAAGGGGTTGGCATTGTTATAAAAGCCCTTTTGAATAAATGGAAAAAGCAGTTGGGTAATGACCCAGGTCCCCTCAAAGTTATCCTGTGTTTCTGTCTTTGTTCTTGTCAACTAGGTCTCTCCTTCTACCTAGTATTTTCTTATCCCTCTCTCTTTCTCATAAGAACCCTTGAAAAGCTGGGAGCTGGCCTCCCACAGATGGCACTAGAACGTGGGGCTTGGGTACAGAGGAGATAAGTAAGGGAGACAATGGGTCACCGTGGAAGCAGTTGGACATGTCCAGTTATAAATTAAAGGTTAGGCAGTGGTATTCTATTATTTGGTAGTAAAATTGTAAATATAAAGCAAAGTAAAGTGAGGCTGCAGCAAGTATCTCTCTGTGTCTCCTCTGTGTACATTTCTCTATCTCTCTCTTTCTAAAGTAAAAAAGTTTGGTGAAGTTTAGTTTGAGACGTGTAGACTTAGGCATATTGGAGTAAAATAAGCTTTAGGTCTAGGGATGTGATGAAGGTTTAATCAGAAAGTCACTTAAGGTAAGAGCAGATTTTGCCAAGTAGGACCTGGGATGCACAAAGCAGCATCCAGTACCTAGCACCCACTGCCAACTTAGCAGTCCGAGTGGCTTCAGAGGCTCCAGAAGCCACCAACAATAGCAGTCTGAGAGCAAAAAGCCACTTCAGAGATTGCCAACTTCAGAAAGCAGCAGCAGAAGAGCATGAGTGACTGCCCAACCAGGTATCTGTGGCTGAGACCCATGGGGTGTCATAACTTACTAGACAGCAGACACCAAGAGACAGCAAGAGCAACAAAGGTCTGCAAGCTTTCTGCTGAGAAGAAGCCACAGTGAGGAGCCAAGCAAAGATGCCATGCCAAGAAAGAGGCAAATGGCAGGCAGTGACAGCGGCAGCTTAGAGTGCAGCAGAGAGGGTAGATTCTATCTCATATTTTCTTATCCCTCTCTCCTCCTCATAAGAACCCTTGAAAAGATGGGAGCTGGCCTCTTACAATGAACATTGATGCCCTGCTGGGTAAAGCAAGCTTAGAGTCTATGACCTTGGGTAAGGTCTCACTAGAAAGCTTCTGTGGGTCATCACAGTTAGGGAGAAACCTGGCTCCAGAGAAACCCCCAAGGAATCCACAAGGATGACCCCAGCTAAGACTCCTAGCAATAGTGGAGAGGGTGCCTGAACTGGCCATCTACTGTAATCAGATTGGTGATGACCCTAATTGTCATCAGAGATACTCTATCCAGTAACTCATGGAAGCAGATGCAGAGGTCCACAGCCAAGCACTGGGATGAGCTTCAGGAGTCTTGCTGAAGAAAGGAAGCAATGATTGTACGAGCTGGGGTATCATGACAGGTGACCCACAGAGATAGTTGACCTGAGCTCATGGGAGCTTACCAACTCTGGACCAACAGTAATGGAGCCTGCATGGGGCCAATCTAGGCCCTCTGCATGTGTGGGACACATGTGCAGCTTGGTCTCTTTGTAAGGCTCCTAGCAGTGAGATCAGGACCTGTCCCTGGTACTTAGCTGGCTTTTGTCCCAGGCCCACAAGCTGGCTTTTGGGAACCTGTTCTCCATGCTGGATTACCTCACCCAGCCTTGATGCAAGGAGAGGAGCTTGGTCCTGTCTCAACTTGATGTGCCATGGTTTGTTCAAGCCCTGGGAAGTCTGGGCTTGGGAGGGTAAATAGAAAGAGGGGAAAGGGAGGAGAGGAGGGAGGGGAAACTTCAGTTGGTATGTAAAATACATGAAAAATTATTTAAATAGAAAAAAGACATCCACAAAAAGAATATCAAGTACTAAGGCTGCCTATAGGGGCTATAGAGGTTCACAGATAAAGTTTAAATATTTAAATAAGTATAAATATTAAATTCAGCATGGTTTCAAATGTGTGATATGAATGATCATAGTCAGTGTTCCACCATTTACATCTAGACATGCCAAAGGCTGCTCTGTCTCTTGTGAAGTGATATCTCTGAGAGACATATAGGTGCAGCTCTTCCAAAGACTGACAGGTGATGTTGTATAAGAAAGGCAGCCAAGTAATATGTGGACTTAAGCTGGCCACATTTTAAAAATGACTTATCCAAAAACAATTGCAAAACACTTTTTGACAACCTGTAAATATTTTTTTCATTTATTTATATATTAGTGTCTATGTATGAGTGAGGGTACCTGTGTGTGGCATTCTAGGGACAATAGTGGGAATAAGTTCCTTTCTTCCATCACGTGGGTCCTGGGACTTAAACTCAGATGGCAAGGATTGGTAGCAAGCACGTTAACCCACTGAGCCACTGGACCATCTTTCTGGCCCACAACCTGTAAATCTTGATGGAGGTCTGTCCATCAAAAGCATGTACAAGCATGATGTCATTGTATTTGTTTATTTCTTCATCAGGTTTTTTAGTTTTTTATGATGTGTTTTTCTCGTTAGAAAATGTATGTGTTCCCTTGCACACAAAAACTTACTGTAAGTACCCACTGTGCACTAGTCACTGGGCAAATAGTGACTAGGGAAGGTCTCCATTCTGTGCACCAGTCACTGGGCAAATAGTGAACAGGGAAGGTCTCCATTCTGTGCACCAGGCATTGGGTAAGCAGTGATTAGGGAAGGTCTCCATCCTCTGTTTTTACTCTAAGAGAGATAACAATAAAATCATAAGACAAATACCAATTTTAAGAAGTGTGCTTAAGGAAATAAACTAGTGATATATTAGCAATTAAATAGAACAATGAGAACAGATGAGGAGGAAAGAACTTCTGAGGAATCAAGTTCTGAGTTTGGATTTGAAGATATAAGGAAAATAATTCAATTTATAATACCATCACAAAGGATAAGTTCAAGTATGAAATGTGAATTTATGAAAACTCTTGAAGCTACATAGCAGTGTTGAAAGGAAATGGAAAAAAAAACTAAGTGAAAATCCATGTTCATAGATCAGAGACTTGTTGGTTAGCTGGCAGTGGTCCTCAAATAATTATGCATTTACAATATGATGCTAACACAGAGAAGCATGGACCCAGAATTCAGTCATTTGTGAGAAGTGAATTTTGAGGACTTGTACTTCTTGCTTTTAAAACCTACTACAAAGGCAAATCAAAGCCCTCTGGTACTGAAATAATAATGGGCAGATAAACCAAGGGGTTATGATCAAGAATCTAAGTGATTTCCAGTAAAGGTAGTAAGATAATTTCATGGGGAAAGAATAGTACTCTCAAAATTGTGCTCAAAAAACTATATATCCACATGAGAATAATTATCAAACCTGTCCCTCAAAAATATACCAGAATTAACTCAAATGTATCAAATCTCTAAATCTAAGAAATAAAAGCACAAAACTCGGAGGATGACACTTAACTATAACCTCATGACCTTACACCCAGCACAGGCTTTGAACTCTGACACCAAAGGAGAGAATGACAAATTTATCAAAACTAAGAATGTTTGCTTCTAATGACACCATCAAGAACTTAAAAGACAACACAGAGGAGGAGAGTAATTTTTTTGATTTTTAAGATTTATTAATTTACTTCATGTGTATTTTACCTGCATGTATGTATGTGCACCACATGCATGTTTGGTACCTGTGGAGGTCAGAAGAGGGCATTGGATCTCATGGAACTGGAGTTATTGATGGTTGTGAGCCACCATGTAGGTGCTGGGAATCAATCCCTGTGGTGATATGTTATATACCCTAATAAAAGTCACCTAAAGATCAGAGAACAGAATAAGCCACTAAATAAACATAGAAGCCAGACAGTGGTAGTTCACATCTTTAATCCCAGTACTTGGGAGTCAGAGATCCATTTGGATCTCTGTGAGTTCAAAGCCACCCTGGACTACATGAGATTGACTCAGTCTAGGAGAGAAACAGAGCTAGGCAGTGATGGCACACACCTTTAATCCCAGTACTTGGGAATCACACGCCTTTAATCCCAGTAGTTGGCAGTCACAAGCCTTTAATCCCAGCACCTGATACCTCATGCCTTTGCTTGGGAAGCACACATGCCTTTAATCCCAGGAAGTGATGGCTGGGCAGAGAAAGGTATATATGGCATGAGGAAACAGGAACTAAAGCTTTTCAGCTGAGGAACCCCTTTTGGCTAGAAAGCTTTTTCAGGCTGAGGAGTCCTAGAGGTAAGGTGTGGCTTGTTCTTTTGTCTCTCTGATCTTTCAGCATTTACCCCAATATCTGGCAATGGGTTTTTATTGTAAGATCATTTTAGAATTTGCACAACAAAGCCCATATCCTCTGGAAGAACAACAAGTGCTCTTAATCACTGAGCCATGATTTCCCTCCAGCCCCAGAAAGTAAATATGTTCAAATCATTTTTCTTATAAAGAATTTGTATCTAAGACACATAAGGATCTCTCATAACAATAATAAAAAGTAAATTCAATATTAAAATGGATCTGAATATATGTTTCTCCAAAAATTATTAAAATATCAACAAGTAAAATAGAAGATTTGAAATATAATTGGACATTGGGGAGATGTCACTCAAAACCCGATGACATAGCACTTCACACCTACCAGGATGGTGTGACAATGGAGAAGTGAGTGCGCGTGAGGATATGATGGATCTAGAGCCTATCTACTTCTGGTGGAGAATAAAACTCATGCCTACTTTGGAAGAGTTTGGCTGGTCCTTAAAAGGTTAAATATCAAGTTATCTTATGGCCTAGCAAGGTGCAGTGTTCTAACTAAAAATGCCCCCCCCCCATAAGCTCATGTCTTTGAATGTTTGGTTTCCAGTTGGTGGAGTGTTGGGAAAGACTAGGAGGTGTGACTTTGTTGGAGGAGGTGAGTGTAAGATGAATTGCTAAATGGTCTTATTAATTAAAAATGAAAAACCTGAGCCAGATATTGGGGTGAAAGATGGAAGATCAGAGAAACAGAACAAGCCACAGCCAACCTCACCTTACCAACTCCTCAGCCTCCAGAGCAAGACTTCCTGTTTACTCGGCCTTATATACCTTTCTGTGCCCTGCCTTCCTAGTGCTGGGATTGAAGGTATGAGTGCTTCCCAAATACTTGGTAGCAAAGATATGAGATCTCAAGTGCTGGGATTAAAAGAGTGTGCCACCATGCCTGGCTTTTCCAGTGTAGCCTGGAACTCACAGAGATCTTGATGGATCTCTGCCCCGCAGAGTGATAGGATTAAAGGCGGGTGTGCTACCACTCCTGACCTCTATGTCTAATTTGATGGCTGGCTCTGTTCTCTGATCCCCAGATAAGTTTTATTGGGGTGCACAAATAAAATATCAGCACAGGTATGTTGCTAGGGATGGGCAAATCAACAGTCTTTCCTAGGACCAGCCTCTTGTTAAATTTTAGGCTAAGACTAGCTGCCCTTGAAGAACAAAGATTAATATAGTAATTATTGTGTTTGCTATTTTTCTAAGTACTCTTTTCTATTCTCAGACAAACTCTAGTACTAACTTATAGTATCTCGGCTCTACTGGCGTCATTTCAGGCTTTTATTTGTTTGTTTTGTTTTTAAGCTGATACTGAATAGAAGTCTCACATTTTAATTTAAGGCAAGAATGATATTGGGACAATATGAGTTACTCTCCCCCTGCTTTTATTTTTGCCATTATTTCTAAAATGAAATTACCTGATCCTATCAATTTAATAAGATGTCATATAATAAATGAGATAATTTTCCAAAAGAGAGTATTAATCAATAGTCAAGTATTGGTTTCACCCTGATATGATATAGGGCTGGGTAGAGGGCTCTGGTATTTTAAAATCTGCTAGTAATAAAGTACCCAAGGAGTCAGACAAAGAGAAGTTAGGAACTTTCATGTAAGGCATGGAGAGGAGAAGAGGAGCTTCAGGGTCTGAAAATATTGTAAAGTAGAAATTGCCCACCAGCATGAAAATCTGAGTTCAGACACTGAGCTTGTGGAGTTTACCCACATAGAAAGCCGGGAAGTGGGTGTCTGGGGTCCCAGTGCTGGGAAATAGAGACAGGAGGACACTTGGGGCTTGATGGCTAGCTAGTTTAGTGAAATTGGTGAGTACCAATGTCATCCTATGACCTACACACACACACACACACATGCACATATATGCACATGCACCTTCATGCATGCATGCATGCACACACATTCAACATACATACATACAAATGATACACTAATTTCTACTTTACAATATTTTCAGACCCTGAAGCTCCTCTTCTCCTCTCCATGCCTTACATGAAAGTTCCTAACTTCTCTTTGTCTGACTCCTTGGGTACTTTATTACTAGCAGATTTTAAAATACCAGAGCCTCTGAAGATCTGAAGTAAGTGACTGCAATATGGAGGGAAGGGACTGCAATGGTAGATGGAGGGTCCGTAGAAGAATGGAAGACTGTGCAACGGGCTATGCGTGATTGTATGTGCTTGCAATCCCATGGGTGAAGACTGTAGGGTTATGAGTTTGAGGCAAGCTTGTGCTACATAGTAAGACCCTGTTGCAAAAAGCCAAAAACAAGCTGGGCATGGTGGTGCATGCTATAACCCCAGAACTTGGTAAAGTTAGGAGGATCAGAAGTTCAATGTCATCTTCATCTATACAGTGAGTTGGTGGCTTGCCTGAGCTACATGAGGCCTTGTCTCGAAAATACGATTTCAAAAGCTGAAGACAAACAAATAAGAAGGATTGTATGTCACTTTTTAGTTGGGGTTTGTGTTGGTAACTTTTGTATCACTGTGACCAAATACCTGACAGACAGTTTAAGTGAAGGTGTGATCGTTTTAGACTCAGGTTTTTTGAAAGGTTTCCATTCATCACAGAGAAGCCATGACAACAGGACAGTACAATACAAGGTGACAGGAGCATAGGGCCACAGCCTCATGTGATGGCTGTACCAGGAAGCAATATCAACTTCTGAAGCTAGCCCCTAAAGAGCTCCTCCCACCAGCCAGGGCTGAGCCTTCAAAACCTGGGCCTGGGGGAGTCTACTCCTCTTCCTGTCTTCCATCCAGCGTATTTAGATGCTGGTCTGCCCCTAGGTTACACTTTAATATTAGAGCCTCAGAAAGCTCCTCTAGAAAGTTTGGACTGAGCTATCTCTCTATTTAGAAAGAGTCAATAATAGATAATGGGGTAATTGTGCATTATTTTAACCCAATGAAAGCTTGTCACTTTAAGAGGCCTTTCTCTAGCCTGTTCTATGCCTCTTTCATATTTCTGGGCTGATAGGATCCTACTTCCCCTAAGAGAGTGAGGAAATTCCATTCTGGCACACGGATCACTGAATAACATGGGAAGTGCTGTGGCAGTCAGGATGGTGAGTCAGATGTGGCACCAAAGGACCTGAGACACTGGAGAGATGAAGGACACAAATGACTTGGATACAAGGCAGCATGAGCAGCGTCCATTAGCTCTGTAGTTAGCTGATGATTTACTTCCCAAGCTTGCCTTCCCTGTTTAGTAGTCCCTGTAACTCCTAAGAATTTGAATAAAATGCAAATATTAAAGCCATCACATGTGTGGTCACCCTCTATCAGGATCATTTCTTCCAGTTTCCTGATTCAGTGAAAAACATCCAAACCTGATAATGCTCCAGTATTCAAATCTTGTTTTCAGGGGTGGGGGTGCCCCCTGACAGAGAGAACAATGCAAAGCTAAAATAAAGAGGA